TTTCTGTTTTAATATTTAGTTGTTTGATCTATTTTGACTTTAGTTTAGTACATGGTTGAGGATATGGGCCTAGATTTAATCTTTGCACGTGGATAGCTAGTTTTCCCAGCAGCGATTGTTAAAGAGGTTATCTTTCCTCCAGTGTATATTTTTGGTCCTTATGTCAACGCTTAACCCCAGAATGTGCCTGGGGTTGTTTCTGCATCTTCTACTCTGTTCCATTGATCTGCATATCTGTTTTTGTGCCACCACCTGCTGTTTTTAATCACTGTTGCTTTGTAGTCCTGTATCAGATTCAGGTCAGCAACCTTGACAGAGAGACAATGAAGATGTGAGAGATAGAGGATATCTTGGTGAGGAAATCAGGGGCTTCACTGGAATGAAGCCTCGAACTGACTTAACCTCCCAGTTTTCCTGAGAAACAAACAAAGGCGTGTTCTGTTGAACACGGGTGTGTAATTTAGATTAGAAAGGCATGATGACCGCTATGCTGAGTTGTCAACTTTATTTTTATCAAATTGTTCCCAGGATGTTTCTCCTTGTTTCACTGGCAAGTCTCACTTCTGCCCGAGCTGGTAGAACACTTCAGCTTCAAGTTGTTCCAGCTCCTCAGGGTTGGCAGTTTTCTGTGTTCTAATCAACTCAAGCAGATGCTAATCTGTTGGGAGCTGCAACGAACTCTATAGTACTGTAGACCTTGAGGTTTGGGATTGCGATGCCTCCTGATTTACTCTTGTTACCCAGGATTGCTGTTACTATTCTGAATCTCTTCTGGTTCAATATGGATATTGGGATTTTCCTTCCTAGTTCTATCAGATCGCTATTGGTGTTTTGATTGAGATTGTGTCACATGTGTGTATCAGTTTTGCAATAAGGCTGTTTTGGCAATATTGGTTCTGCCCATCCAGGTAAAGGTGATAGCTTTCAATTTTCAGACGTCCTTTGTCAGAGTAACGCCATTTTTCTTATAGAGGTTTTCTACTTCCTTTGGTTAGATTAATTCCCAAGTATTTAATGTTTCTTGGTGCTATTGTGAATGGTATTGTTTTCCTGATTTCCTTCTCAGTGGGTTCATTGGTGGTATACAGGAATGCTATTGGTTTTTGTGTGTTGACTTTGTATCCTGCTGCATTCCTCAATTTGGTTATTAATTCTCAGAATTTTGGTGAAATTTTTTTAGTGTCGTATGAAAAAAAATCATGCCATCTGCAAATATGGGTAATTTGACTTCCTTTCCTATGCATATCCTTTTTATTTCTTTCTCTTGCCTAATTGCTCTGGCTAAAGCTTTCAGTACTATATGGAACAACAGTGGGGACAGAGAACACCCTTGTCTTGTTCCTCACTTTAGAGAAACATTCTCAA